CAACAGAAATAACAGTAATAACAGTCACAGCAAAAAGTTTAAAAAGCGATAAATTATGACTTTTTGTATGACTTTTATGTTTAATAAATTATATTTTAAAAATGAATTTTGCGCTTAAATTTGTTTCTTACGTTAAAGCATATTAAATATTGAATAAAATTATTATAATTGTTTTAAATGTGATATTAATGATGAGAACTTTATTATAAATGACAATAATTAACTCGTACAGTGAGAGTACAATGAAGGGAATGCCTAACCGTAATGTGTGCGACACTCAGCCGTCGTAGCAGTGATTCAATGCATTCATGTTTGCATTGATTGTGAATTGAGTTTTGATTTTTTGAATCACATGTCCGTCTCGTCAGTGATTTAATTGGATTTAATGACTTAATTGTGAGTGAAGTGTGTGTTTGTATGCATAGGATTGGGGCACACAATGAGTGATAAACAAAAGGTATTCATATATTAAACACATGTTTTGCTATAATAGTCGCTATTTTGACAAATATTTTGAAAAATATATATTTTATTAAATTTTGTGCTCAATTTGAGACCAAATACTAGCTTTTGATTTGATTATTGATTTGAAATAAGCAATGAAACAGTTGTGAAATATTTAACTCTTTTTATATGAAAGAAAAATTATATCACAATAGATATCATCGCAAAAGGGGGACCGACACCGACGAGGACGCCATGAGTCCAAGAGTGGATCCAATGATGGCGGCGATAGGTATGACAGGAGTGATAGGAGTAATGATAGACACCATCGACGGCACGACCACCGGTCCGATAGGGATTCAAATCATAGGCCGAAAGGCAGAGACTATTCCTCGAGTTATCACAGAGAGAGTGATCGCAGAGACGACCGCCGGAGAGAGCGCTCCAGAAATAGCGGTCATCGGAGTCGCAGCCGAAGTCATAGTAGGAGTCGAAGCGGCGAACGAAACGCCGGCAAATGTGCAGATAATAGGAGTTCCAGACATACAGAAAGTATTCCTCCGAGGATTAAGCCCATAGAGCCCGCCAATGGTGGCAACCCACCGGAGAAGGGACTTCAGCACCGAATCAATTTGGATCTCATGAAGCAACAAATCCAGATGAGGACGGGTATAGCGGTTCCCGATTACTATAACCCGGGAGTCGTTAATCCCATCAGATTTGCAGAACAGGAACGCAAGAGGAAACTCCTGTGGAGTCGAGGGGACGACACCAATAAACCACAGGTTTTTAATCAACCCTTTTGTGAATTATATTTTTATTTTGTATGAGAAGTTAGAATACCAGTTCATAAGCGTGGTTACTGTGTTCTGGATACTTTTAATACTGTATAACAAATTTTTATCATTCGTTGAAATGATAGTTTTTCAATGATTGCTGTATTGAAACTCATTTGATAGTAATTGTGGCGACAATTTACTATAAATTATGCCAATAATGCGCTAATATCACACAGTTTTCTGACACAAATGTATCGCAAAAAGTGTTTTAGTTTTATCGTAAAACTTTTATGGCTAACTTAAATATTGTAACTTATTGCATACGAATTGCAGTATTTTTAAATCCAAAAAGCGCTTAAACTTTAATATAAAATTTATAATATAAATACACATTAGGTTTTAAAATTAAAATAATAACAAAATGCATTAATTTTTTATACTATTAAAATTGAATTCTAAATGAATTTTTAAGATTCATATACCGGTAATTAGAAATATATGGGAAAATACTTAATACAGTAGTATAAAGTTCATACAATTGTGTGGACAAGTAGTGAAATTGGTGACTATGGTGGTGGGAATCGATGTGTGTTTTGTACTATATTTTTTGGTTAATTTATTATGTATTTAAAAAAGTTTTAAGATTAATGAAAGGAAAAGTTTATGAGTAAAGGATTTTTCGATAAGAAAGTTAACTATTTTCTTGATCTCAAACTACTATAGACTCGCATAAAAATATGAAACAAAAATATTTTCTTTTTTGCGCAAAAAAAGTAGTCATAAAATATTTGCAAATAACGATTAAGTCAAAAGTGTGTTTACGCGAGAAATTAATTTACTATTAAGTGGTTATGAATGGAGTAATTGGTGTTTTGTTGGGAGGGGAGGGAAGGGAGGGACTTGTCTTTTAAGTATATAGGAATTCGCAATTCTGAGATCAATGAACATTTTAAATGTCAAAAGTTTAAAATTCCTTTATTTTACACAAAAAACACTTTTTAGACAATTGTTTGAGCGATAAAATGCTGTTTATTTTGATTAATTTTATGACATATGAATAAATTCTTAGCATAGGGTAAGGTGTATATTATTTAAATGACAATAAACTGCAAATAAGTATATTGTTTACACCGTGGTTTACATAGTGTGTTTTTAAATTATGGTAATGTTTTGATTTTGTTTGTAATGAGTTTGTAAAAGTTATTAACACCAAAGAAACACACGAAAAGCAAAAGGAAATATCGATTTAAAATTAAAAGCATTCGCAGATTTGTAGTGCGATAAGAGTGACTCATTTGTTTGCTTTTTATTTATTTATTTGCGAAATAATTTTCTCTGACATTACTTTCACAACTTAATACTTGTGGAGAAATGTAATATTTTCAAACTAGAAATTAATTGAGATTCTTGTGGTAAGACAATAGTGAATATTAAATGAAATATGCATTGATAGCAAATCTAAAGGAATCGTTAGCGACTAAAGTGATGAAATTTATGAGAAATTAATCTCATCTAAGATTGAGTGGGAATTAATTTTTTGTGTGTGATTTAAACCCTTTTAATTTAATGAGTCCATCATTTTTTGCTAACAATTCCTCATATATCCCGTCCCTTAGTAACCATTTGGTAAAAATATTAGTTATTTTATGCAGAAATGTCTCGTAATATCAGCGATGTATCAACATTTGTATCAATGAATGGTTAGGGAAACTGACAAAACTTTCTACAAGATTATATAATTCGGAATTTAAAAATTTGATAATTTATTAGATTGTGATTTATTAATATTATAGCGAAATAATATATCAAGTGATTAAGTAATTAGTTTTGACACTATTTTCTAAACGAATAAAAATATTGAGTGATTTAATAATAGCTGCAAATGTGGTGTTTGGGTATATATGAGCGTACAGTAAGTGTGCAAAAGTGGTTTATCACATAAACAAAGACAGTGTGAGTGATATTAGCGTAGATTACGGCACGAAGTAGTGGAGCAGTGGTTAGATTAAGACATGGTTAAGCCATAGGGGGTCTCCGTTTGTTTGTTGTTTCCTTGAAGTGATTCACAAATGGTATAGACATTTGGAGTCTAAATGATTAGACAATTTTGGTGTAAGACATAAATTGTACAGAAATTTCCTCAAATTGATAACATCTTTGATAAGAAAAATGAAAAATCACTTAAAACTGCAAAATTGCCGAAAATTTTCATTCGGTTTTTGCATTTTTTTTATTTCGAGATAATGACTGATAATATGGAGAGCGGAGAGTATTTTAAAAACAAAAATCTTTTATTAGTAAAACGTTTTTAGCTATTATTGGCGTCAAAGCGAACATATTTTTAACACATTATATGATTATTAATGTATGATATAAATTAATTTCTAATTATAGTATTCTTTAAACGCGTTGAACATAAAAACAGTTTATTATTACACTTAAAGTTATATTTATTTCTCATTTAAATCGTTTGTAAATTAATTTTTTTTCGCAGCGACTGTGTATTGAGGGTTCAGTTTTGTGAATGCATTTGTGTTTTTTGATTATAATTTCTAATCTTATGATTTTTCGGGCATTTCTTGATATCTGAAATTTATGTTAATTTGCGAATCAAGTAATTTCTGAATGAAATTCATGCGAAATGTGTTGATATGTATGTATATCCTCTCCCTCTCGCGCGCAGGAGTCGTCGTCATCATCTGTGGTGCCGTCGGTGTCATCGGCGGACCCGTCGAAAGCGAAGCCGAATCAGTGGAATGGCTTGAAATTTGAAGGCGAAAAGGGAACTGAAATGACGGAAAAGTTTCGAAAATTGATGGGAATTAAAGATAAGGATTTGAGCGCTGAGGAGGCATTGGCGACGAAGAATGAAAGTGCGATCGAAAGTCAAGAAACTCTGTTTCGTAATCTGGATCTCCAGTACTCCATCGCCCGCCTCTCGACGCACACACAGCGTGGCGTCGGTCTCGGGTTCGGTGGCCCCCAAAAGTAGAGGGGTATCACCGGGGGGCTCAGGAGCTATAGGCGCTGTGTTTTGTGTGATTTATCTGGTGGTGCGATCACCACACAAATGAGTCTATTGGGTAAGTGTAACGCACACCACCACTACTGCCAGCGCTCGTATCGGCCGTGCAGTCGATTTGTGTGTAAAATAAAATAGTGTACAAAAACTTTTGCGGACGATATGTGTGTTTGAGTGAGAAGTTTGTGTCGAGTCTTATGACTCGCGTTCACCTGAAATAAAAGGGAAAGTTTTACGATTGGTGTCAATGACCGCTTGATTGCAAGTTTAACGCTTTGACCCAATTTTATCGCATCTCTAACTTCAAGTACACCTCATATACACCTCTCATCTGACTATTAAACACCGAAAAACGACTATTAATTATTCCATCGATTAGATCTGCATTCAACACAAATTCTTTGACTTTTTTTTATGCTATTAACCACTTCTCTCACACAGAGTTTGTGTTTCGTTTGCCGTTTTGTTTGTAAAATACAAATCTTATGTAATCTATAAAATGTAAATCATTATACAAATTATTAATGTATTTAGCAATTATAATCAATAATAAATTGCTTTTGCATTTTTCGCAAAAAGACTTTCCATTTTCCCCATTAAAACTGAGCGTTAAGTCTTTAAACTGTATGTAAGACTCCGATAGCGACTCCGGAGTGTTGAGTTCAACGACCCATAACTGAGTTAACATTTTTCACTCTATTTTTTTATGTTATCCTACAAAACGATATGTCATGTCTTTTCTTCACCTACTTGTCCGATACAACACATCCACAAACGCGCAGCCTATTCAACAGGTATACCCATCTCACCTGTTATTCACTCTCCTCCCTCTCCCCCTCCATCTAAACACCTAAACAGTGCTATAGTTCCCACACTATCCGCCAACAACTCGCCAAAACATACAAAAACTACCTGTATACTCTACCGTATATTATTATACTTTTTTTCTATAATCTATTATCAAAAGTCCTTACAATACGGACTACAAGGCGACCCCAAAATATGATATACATTTTGCAAACTTTTTTACGACCCATAAAATCAATGCAATTTTCCAATTTTCTAAATTCAATCATAATGTTACTAATTCTATAAATTTATTATTATTAGTTTTTTTTATAATTTATTTGATTTTCATTTTTAATATTAAACAATTTTTCCATTAAAAATAATTATTATTTCGTAATTACATTTATTATTACATTTATTTGAGTTAATGTTCTGGAATTATATATTTTTTTGTTAATTTCCTAATTAGTGAACACTATATGCAATGGAAATAATTTGCAAAAACTTTGTATTTGTTTTGTGCACAATAATTGTATTGAATATAGCGGTGCATGAAATGATGCAAAAGTTGCGGCAAACAAATAGTGGTTAAGCGTTGAGGTGATGGACAGATAGTGACAGACAGACTGTTCACTCTTTAGCACTGAATGCACGTCTAGAGTGTGTGTGGAGACCGGAGACTGGATCTGGTGGTGAAGGAGGCACTGGTATGCGATTGGTTTTGGGCGCACATGAGGTGCACACAAAACACACGAAAAGTGCACCAAAAGTTCGGAACAATTAATGGCAGGTATGGCAGGACTGACTGACAGGTCATACTAAAGGAGTTACGGAAATGCGAGAGATTTGTTTGATTGAAAAACATATCTGTTGTGTTGTGTTGAGTGTAAACAACATTTACAACAGTTTTCATACAAAAGACTGGCAAACACTGCGAAACACACATAGCATTGGATTCTTGAAGCCAAGAAAGTTCAACGACCCATCACTGGTCCGTATATATCGCTATATATCGTACAGATTAGGGCCATTAGGGCCGCACCGGAAGACTTACGAAAACGAGGAAATACTCTCTCAGAGACCATCTTTTCAAAAGTTATTGATTTCTTAAAATACTGTTTTGTAATTAACATTTGCTCCAGAATTATGCTGAGATTAATTAGCTGTAAAGTTAGAAAGCAGTTTTGCCCATACCTACAGTACAGTAGCACCAGTGGTTGAGGTGAAATTTTCTCGAG